TTTTTGGCACATTTTTTGTGCTGAAAAACCCCAACTCGGCTTATACTCGAGTCAGTCTGTATTGTGGCAACTTACATTGCCACAATACAGACAGGACCGCCGGGCTTATAATGAGCTCGGCGGTCCTGGTCTGTATTGTGGCAATGTAAGTTGCCACAATACAGACCAGCACCGCCGGGCTCATTACAAGCCCGGCGGTCCTGTTGGGGGCTGACAGCGAGCTGTAACTTACCTTCCTGCAGCTCCTGTCAGCTACCTTCTCCTCCATGCAGCTCCTCTGTCAGCTTATATTCGGGTCGGCTTATACTCGAGTATATACGGTATATTGTTGCCACTGAACTTTTTACATAATTATTAATCAAAGCAATCTCAAATTTAATATATATTTACTGTATTATTGCTGAGTTGTTTTTTTTCTACAATAGAATCACATATCATTTACATTATTTTTGGTGCCCTCTATGTAGCATTTAGTTACTTTATTTTACTTAGACCATCTTTAATATCTCCTGCCTGGAACTGCTATAGCAGAGACAAGCTAACTTTTAATAAACAACGTTCAGCTTCAAATACAATCTGGGAGTTCAGCAAAGCAAAAACCACACCCAGAATACCGAGAATGTTTTACCATGTGAGCATTTAAGAAAAAAAAAAAAAGAGAGACAGAAATTACGTGGGATGTTGGTGTACAGGGTTTTAGGTCACAGTAAATGTTTTCTGTGAATTATTTTTTTATTAGTTTTCACAGTTTAACAATACAAATGCATAAGACAGCAAACAGGTAGTCTACAACACAAACAAAGCGATAAAGAACACAATAACAGCAGAAATGTAAATATGAAAGAGATCCAGCTGACACATTGGGTGTTAGGTGAACTCTTAAAACTGACAAAGATAACACACATCATAAATAATGATTACCAGGAATATGTGTTCATGACACAAATACTGGAAGAACAGTATGATGTCAATTATGAATAACCAGATGTACATTCAAAGGAAACTACAGTGAAGACACATATTGCACAAAGAGCGTCTTCCATGTGAAGAAAACAAGCATGATGCTGAAGTCCAGTATGCCTGAAACTATGGGGAAGAGGAGCAATTAAATCAGCAGTTAAGTCAGCAATTGCTTGAAACCAGTGAAATAAGTAAAGATCAGCCCCAGTAGCAAAAAGAGACTAAAAAGAATCATGAAAGCCCAACACAACACCTGTGAGCTGTGAAAAATTGGAGGTAACCATTTGTTATAGAAATTTGCCCAGCAAGTGCGCCATGGCTTAAATCACAATCACATTCCCACTGACCACACTGGGCAGCCTTGCTCTGAACTGCCATCAAATGTGACATTAGCCCAGTGTCTCCAGCAATAATTCCCAGGCAACTATTTCTCACCATGTATAGAAAAAGTGCTACTTAGTCACAGTGAAGAAAATTGACCCAAATTTGATGCAAGTTATCAACCAGCACCTCCCCAGATTTGGCATTAAAATAGTGCAGATTTTGACAGTGCTCCATTTAGACAGCTCGATAACATAACCCTTAAATGTCATGTAAAGTCTGCGGGGGTCTTTACAAATGACTCAAATGCCATGTGAAGTCAACATTGCATCCAGGCCCCTAGCCACAAGCTTCAGGCTCTTCTGGCTTCTGAGAAAAGTGATCAGAGGACAACAGGTAAGAAGCAAAACTGTTTTTAAAAAGTTTGTTTAATTACAATGGAGGCGCCAGGGCACTCCTGGCACCATAACCACTACATCACACTGTAGTGGTTATGATGCTAGGAGTGTTCCTTTAATCAGAGTTTGTCATTAAACTCAACATTTTAGTGAATTAAATGTGAAATGTAAAATTTAGGCTAAAATTGTTAGAGCTGAGCTTACCTACATTTTGTGAATTGAATTTGATTCAGTAATTAGTTTAGTGAATAACTCTATATGTGGTTTGCTATATTCCCATATCTACAAAGAGAACACAGCAGGGACAATAATATAACATTTTCTAAATGTTAATTACTACAAGCAACACTATCTCTATCGGTGTATATTACATAACCAGGCATTAGGGATGCACCGAAATTCAACTGCCTAAATTTTCAGCCGAAAATTTGCCAAATTAAAAAACATGCTTGCATTAACAATTCAGATGATTATATATCACAATGAAAGATAGTAATGATAACATGAAAAAGCAATAATACTGCACTTGGGACGGGGGTGGGGATAGGGGAGGTGGGGAAGAACACTATGTGACAGGGGGGAAAGAACACTATGGGACAGGGGAGAAAAGAACACTATGGGACGGGACACACACACTATGGGACAGGGAAGGAGGGGGGAAAGAACACTAAAAAAGAAGGAGGGGAGAGGAACACAAGAGGGAGGAGACAGGAACATTAAGCAGGGGGACCACTAAAAGAGAAGGGAAGTTTTTCCTATTAGATTCAATTCATTTAAAAGTCTAATATTAATAAAATTTTAACGGCACCACCAGGCATAAAAAGTGGTTAAAAGCCGTTTAGTAGATCTTCCCTTCCAGAGACACAGGGACAGCTACTGTAGACACCAATCCACCGAACCGGAGAAGCATATGAATGCTCTCAAACATACGAATAGGTTTACACTCCTAGCAGTCGAACTGGAACAGAATACAATAAATCCCCCCCAAGAACGAGACAAGGCTCAGTTTTGAGGGTCAAGCAGGAACAGACAGAGCTGTGGGTTTATTGTTCTTATATACACATTCTTACACATTAGTACCACCCACAGGGTTTTGGAAAACAACCAATAAACACGTACAATACACTCAGGCACTCCCACACAAAATCCTCCCCTCTGCCTGTGATACAATTACCTTACACAATGGGTAATGTAATTATCACAGGCAGAGAAATACAGTTTTCCACATTATTTATAACTTTAAAAGTACGCATCACATTCACATACAACTTACATTTTCAGAATCAGCATACTCGAAATACAAACATATGTCAAAATCATCCAAATTGGTCCATTGGTTCAAAAGATAGATCGAAGTCCTTTGTGACCAAATGAAGCATGGCTTTTCTGCCCAAAACCAGTTCCACAGAGTCTTCTATCCTGGAGATAATTGAGAAGTAATCCAATTATCTCCAAGGACAGAGGCAAAACTCCATTAGCCACATGGTAGCAAAGTACAGTAAAATACAATAAAATACACAAGGTTACATTTATTACATAAAATACAGACATGCAACATATCTCCAGATAGCTTAGGTCTGAGCACACATTATTACTGAATGGCGCTATGACCACACACATACAGTTCTATTGCCATGGAGCCAAAGTCTTTTATTACACGAATAGGCTCCATGGAATAGCTATCTGGGTTAAATGAGTTCATTCAGTAAATCCAAGAATCTACCGAACGCCAGGGCAGAAATACATGAATAGACCTTTCTGCATAGGAAAATAAAGTATTTAAATGCCGGTCCATAGTCAAAAGGCAGCAGGCAGGCAACCAGGCTCCTCCAATGCACAGTGGCGAGATTGGTCTTGTCACAAAAATTATAGGAAAAAAACTTTTTAAAAATCATTTTGGGGGAAAAAAGTCATTTTCGGTTTCGGTCTTCGGCCAAGGGCATCCTGAATTTTCGGTTTCGGGCCAGAATTTTCATTTCGGTGCATCACTACCAGCCATACATATAAGATTTTAATAGTACAGTCCAATTAAAGGTGCTTGTCTGTGACACTTCCTACTTACGTGAGATTAGGCATGTCCCACTGACACCTCCCACTCACGTGAGACATTGTGCAAGTTGCATATTCAACACGGAATTTTGTCCAAGCTGAAAGAGTACATCATGGACATTATGCCAATGCATAACTACAAAAACAAATATGTCAGAAATAAGTTTTGTTTCATTACACCCACCAAACTCTGACAGACGCACAGTCGGATTTGCCGGCATATGCGCTCACCTTACCCAACCCCCAAAAGAGACACGGACACAGGTTATACTGTTGGAAATACTAGTCCACAGCTTTATTAAATTATAAATAAAATAATTAAGGAATAACAAATGGGGTCATTGCCAACAGACCTTATTAAAGTTAATATCCCCCATGTACATAACATTCCCCTGCAGTGACCCCCCAATAATAACAATAGATAACAATCCAAATAACATGTTAATACAGAAACTGGCCGCCCAATATGGCCACGTTTCCACCAGGTTAAATTGTAGGAGTGTACCAAAACACCGCTACCCACCATATCAATTGTAGGGGTGTACCAAGACACCGCTACCCACCATATCAATTGTAGGGCTGTACCAAGACAGCGCTACCCCCCATATCAATTGTAGGGCTGTACCAAGATAGCGCTACCCCCCATATCAATTGTAGGGGTGTACCAAGACACCGCTCCCCACCAGTTCCCGTGTAGGGTGTACCAAGACACCACCACACGCCCAGGTTCGGAGCTACCGACGAGCTCGAACCCACCAACCACGTGCAACACTGTCCAATCCACACTAAAACCACAGGATGCCCACTTTCTCCTCCATCTGCCCTCCGATTTAACCAGGCCATTCCCCGCCACAGCTCAGAACTTGACACCTAAAGCTCCTGAGCAACCCCCACCACCAGAAGAAGGCCTGTTGAATGCCTTCCTGAAGGCCCAATCTAAACAGATCACCTTTTACACCCGAAACGTACCCCATCCACCTTGGAGTACCCAGGGAACTTGCTTCCCCATCCGATGTGTCTCCCCGTTACACCACCCCCCACTTCCAATAAATACCGCCATCATGGATCCGTCTTCAACAACGAGCCACCACGACTTGGCCCTTATGCTTCCCGCCCTCGCGGAATACCCGAATGCCATGAATCGTACCTTATGTTACGTTCCCACATTTTTTTTTAACTAATCTCTTGCCACCAACAAACCCCCCAAAAAAACAACCACTCCAGCTCCACCACTTCCAGAGGACAGCCCCGTTGCGCCTCTAGACCCGTGCCATGGCTTTCTTCAGCGCCCCTCAGATGAGCGAGTGGTACATCTACCATGCCACCAGAACGAAAGTAATTAGCTATCAAGCTGAGCACACAACCTTTTGTGTCCCAACCTTTAACCGCATAGACCGGCTGTAATTAGGACTTAACCGCACTGACTCCCACCTGTCTGAACGATTCCCTTGATCCTCCCTTAAAAACCCAGACGGGACGCCTCTGTCGCCGCCATCATCTGATAGGAACGGGCCCCAAAGTTCCCGGGATCCAAAACCCAACGCTGTCAGACCCCTTTGAACAAAACCCCTGCCGGAATTGGACTCGTGACAGTGCCCCTCCGTCCCTTTTTACTAGTAAGCCGCGCGAATCTCCACGTAGTGTGATGTGTTTGAAAAACTGGGTATACCTGTCCCCCAAACCTCCTTTACCAGCACATCCGTTCCTGTACAACCCACCAAATCCTTACCTTAACCGACTGAAGTTCGACAACCGAGTGTAGAACCCCCCAACACCAACCCGAAAGGCCCTCACCAACTCCCTGACCTGAATTGACCCAAGCCCATGTGAAGGCCCCCAAAACAAACTCAACTCGAAAGTAGAATCACACACTACCTTCCGCATGCCCACCCAGCGTTATGTTCCCAAGGAAAACCAGTCGCCCCGGCACCGACCTATGCAAAACCATCCGCATGACCAGCGATCCCTGACGTACATGACAACGGTCCCACAGTTCTTCCTAATTGCTCAGTTCAAACCTTGACACCAAAGCCGCCTTGTTCCTGTCCGTTGCCGATATAGCTACCGCTGAATGTACCAGCGGCTTTGGAACCACCGCAAGGTAACTCTTCTCCCCACTTTTGACTGGAACCCACCAGTGACAACCAACCGCCTCGTCTCATAGACCAAGCCTTCCCATGGCAATCCCCGTGCCCGGTGCAGTAGGATTCAGTACCGACCCTCCAAGCCTGGCTTCCCAAGCTGCCACGTTTCCTCCCAACCGGCCTGCCCTTCCTCCCGCACCCCCGGGGCCGCAATTCGCAGCTTGTCCCCTTGTACACAAATCCAGGAATCAGCCCCTACCTTCCGCCAACCAGGCACGTGGCGTGCCCGCAACCGATATGAAAACGACCTGCACAGTGATATAAAGTGCCGCAATCATCGTACCTCCGGACCCGAGGACTCGGCTCGATGGTTCACCGCATAACCTCCCCGTATTGTCTGTGCAGTACGACTTTCCACCCTTTACGCTATCCTCAATAACTCAAAAGATGCCAGCTTCAAATGGTATGACTTACCTTCCCTGCATCCCGCTACCGCACCTTTCACCACCTGTCATCCAGGTATGCCTCGGAACCCATGTTCCCCAGTGATAACCGTGGCCAACTCAATGCCTCCTGTAAAGGCTCCACAAGTAGCCGTCCCCTTGCGATGGCTAAAAAACCCACCCCCGTGACTAACCCGACATGCGGATTTGAGCCCGCCTTATGCGCCTCCGCAATTCCTCAGCGTGACCTCCTTGAACCTGCAAACCTTCGCCCTGCCTCTCGTAGCGCCTTCAACTGCCCCTAGGCAATCGACACTCCCTTACCACGGAAACAGTTACTCATCCCGCAAAGATGTGCAGTAGGATTCCCGTGACCGTAATGTAAGTCCACCATGGCCCGTCCCAGCCGAGCCCACAGCAAACTAACTCCCGGACACTGTACTAATGAACCCTCTCCTGAATCCTCTTTCACCCCCCCACCCAACGGAAACCCACTTCCAACGTAGGAACATGACATGGAACCGCCCCTTGGCAAGTAGAGTTCACCAATAGGCACCTGTACACATGCTACCCAAAAGATGGAAGGGTCGTCAAAACCAAACACGATAAGTGCCTTCCTGCCCACAGCCATGCGGCAGGGCGCATTCTTTATGTTGGGCCTCCGCGCCCGATCGGCGCCAGCCGCACTCCCACCTCCAAGGCCCGTCCGTCTGCCTGGGCCATCATTCTTCCGCTGCGAGTCGACGAAATTCCTTTCCACCTTCCCGTCGGTGCCGCTGCCTTGCTGATACGCCCTCCTTCTCAGCCTCCACTCTAACACCGCTGGGGGGGAGGAGACGTGCTCGAACCCCCAGCGGTTTCTGCATTCATGCCATCCTCTGCTCCTTCCCAATGCTCACCAGCCTGCCTGGATCACTTCAGCTGACACCACCTGCAAGAAAAAACACAGAAACAAACCGACCTGCACAACTGACAGGTATCCTTAATTTAATTTACAATGGCCACTTCATAAAATGGCAGGTATAAATACACCCCTTATGGCTCCGCCCCACCCAGCATGCTAAGTGACACTAACTTCCTTTGGCTGCTATGCCTACCTCCTGGCTCTGTCAAGGCCTATTCCTCTTAGCTGCGCTGATCCATGGGCTACATGATGCTCTGACATTCATGCAACACAAAAAAAAATAATAATTTTGAGGTCTCATGAGCATTACAATTCTGTACTTTTTTTTTTAAGTTCAGAGTTAGTACACAGATTTGTTGGAACATTGCTTTTAGTGTGAGGTTTATGTGTGTACTGTCCTTGGAACTGTGCACTAGAAATACATAACAAGATAATCTTTTTAAAGTAAATGATTTAAGAATCTCATGATTTACTTCACGTAACAACTATTGTTGTATCTCGAAGAAATTCAGTTCTCATGTAACTTAGGTTTCCAGAAAGAAATGCTATGTTAGACTGTTGACATAAGTCTTGCTTGCGAAAGGTGTTACTATCTGGCATATTTGAACACAAATATGTATGGTATTTGTAGATGTCCTCTCAGTTTGCTGTAAATTGTTTCATAATCCATGCAGACGTTTTGCTTGGTCTGGTTTGGCATTTCCCCAAAAGCTTTCTGGCCATGGCTTCAGGTAGCCGCCTTGTCTGACCATTTGCACTACCTCAGGCATTAAAGGGCACACTTGGTATTCCGCATATTGCTATATGAGCATTAATTATGATATATGCATTATTGTTGATAATTTATGTTGGCAGGTTTTTCTTTTTTCTTATTGTTTAACACACATAATTCAGTGACTTCTTATATATCTGTTTTTTTCCCCCAGTTCTATTGTAGAGACTAAATGTTTACTAGCCCAGTGATCCCTGTTACGACAGTGACCCCTTCACACAGAGTGAAACCCAGAGGAAGACGTTTACCGGACCTTAGAGTGGCCGGACTTGCGTCTGAGAGTAGTCAAAGGAATAGCCAGAGGTCAAGGGAATACAGAAGACGGGCACACGATAATCCAAGCCAAAATAATGGGAAACCAGAGAACAGAATAGTCAGAGTGGAAGCCAAGAGTCAGATACCAAAAAAGACAATCAGAATATAAAGAGCGCTAGAGGACTCAAACAAGAACCACACTAGGGCGCCTAACAAGTGCCATGGTTGCCTTTTTATAGTGTGGGATCTTTAGCTTTAAAGCCACGCCCCCAAAAGGTCCGGGAGCGTGGCCACGTTTGAATTTTGACGGCACTATTTTGCTGACGTCGGCGCGCATGCGCCACGTCATAAAAATGGGCGTGTTCTGAGCGGACGGCATCAGAAGAACTAAGCCGCCTCCCGGAAGTATGGGAGGAGAACGCCGCACTGCGCGGGTCCGGCCGGGAAAGGTAAATGATCATTACAATCCCTTCTTTAAAGGAATACTCTAAACATCCTTAGCTTAATGAAGCTGTTTTGGTGTATAGATCATGCCCCTGCAGTCTCACAGCTCAATCCACTGCCATCTAGGGGTTAACTAACTTTTATTCTGTTTATGCAGCCCTGCCACACCTCCCCTGGCTGTGACTCACACAGTCAACATGAAAAAAAACAATGTTTTGTTTTCAACCAGACCTTACAGCACAATTTGTTTATTTTAGAAGTTTTTAATTCCTGCTCTGTTAATTGAACTTTAATCACACACATGAGGTTCCTGCAGGCTTTAACAGGCAATAAACAGAGAAGAGTTAAGGCATTCTAAATGAAACACACTGTTCAGTAAAGGAAGTTGAAACATGACTGCTGACCCAATAACCAAAAAACCCGTTACCCCCCCAATAACGACATGACACCTGAGTGTTGGATAAGGGCAACGGCCACAGCTTTATTTAAACTTTAACACAGCCAGCATTTTCCACCTGTCAGCTGTTGGGGTGACTACCCAACAGACAGATACTCCGAGTCTTTATCCAGAGTTCGTACAGCCTGCCTTCTGCCATCAGCCCTAGCAGGCTGCGACTACCCAAATCCTTTTATCGTGCATTACATGCGCTGGCCAGGAACACCGCCATAGCTGTGACAAAACAAGAACAGAAAACAAGCAACACCACAAGCAAAAACCATCACAGTAGCATAGGGAAAGTGAGGGAGGGAGGGAAACTGTTCCAGACTGCTCCTTTTGCACTGGTGAGTACCCTCCCCTCTGCACCCCTTCTTATATCCGCCATCTTAGCAACTATGTATATATCCCATCCCTTACTGCAGGGCAGCATTCATGCCTCCCCTTCCTTGCAGTCCAGGGGATCTCTTTAGATCTCTATACAGAAAGTATATAGGGAGGTTGTGTAAATCACAGCCAGAGGAGGTGTCGCCAGGGCTGTATAAACACAGTGATGTAACTTCTAAATAGCATAGAATTGAGCAGTGAAACCACTTCCTGACACATGAAACACTAAATCAGCACCATTAAAATTAGTTTAATTTTGCTATAATTGGTATTATAATTGGTTGACTTAGAGAGAGAGAGAGTGAGAAGGTGTGTGTGTGTGTGTGTCTCTCTAAGATAACCTGTAGCAGTATCTCCATAGATGCTAGTGAGCCATAGATAACATGCAAATTTCCCTTGTAAACACTTCTATTCTCCAATGTGTATACTTATTGGTAAAATGTGTTATTTGTAGCACTAACTGGTGTGTTTACTACTTTTTCATCTGTTTTTTTGCACCAAAACAGATGCACAGTAAGAACAGTAAATACATATATTTTATGCTAGGGGGTCCCTTATGTATACATTAGAGAGAAAGGTCCCTATCCCAGAGATCTTACAATCTGACCAGAACTGATAGCATGGGGAACATTACCTGTTAACGCCATTAAAAATGTTTTATTTTATTTATGAAAGTTTGGACATGGGGAAAGTTTAGTTGATGGATATTCCAAACCAAGGGGCAAAATGGTAGAATATATTTAGACTGGATACAGACAGCGGTTGAGCGAACTGGAGAAATGAGATGTCAGCTAAGGGTAAAGTAGGTAATGTCCTCAAAGGTAAAGAAGATCTTCAAATTAATGAGGGTTTTTCCATGGGAAGTCATGCTATTGATGTTAGATGAGTAACTCTAAGCACTGTAACCAATACAGCTCATTCTAGTGGTTATGGTGCTATGCGCTGTCCCTTGTTTTTGTCAAATTAGTTTGGGGTCCACTTTCAGTCGCACTCACAATGTGGAAACTACACTTTATTATCAAGTGTAAATCAATCCA